ATCGATCCTCGGGGGTTACAGTTCAACACGACTTTGGTGTAGGGGTTTAGGTTATAGGTTTTGGTTTTGCGTCCACAGTCGTACCTCGTAGGCGTTGCACCCGAAACTCCAAACTAGTAGAGGAGCAAGTTTTCCAAGGTTGCCCGTTCAAACTGTGATCACCGCTCCAGCATCTGGGGAAACCTGCAGTTTATGTAAGCTTCTTAGTGGAAAGGGACTTACGGATTTCTGGGATGGACTACGTGTAATGCACCCACCCACAAGTCTTGAAGTCAACCCGAGACCCCGAACCTACTTAAACCAGGGCTTGGGGTTTTACTCTCGTCAGAGGTGTGCTTACAGTGATAATTACCCAAGGTGAAACCATCTTTTCGGTGGAGTCCTGTAGTCGTCGTTCTTGAGGGCACGGCAACAGCAGTAAAGCAGTACCTATAGAGTGTCACAGGTAGTATAGTAATGACTGTATGCCACATTCCACACTCCGTGCTCTATCTGGTGTATACTCTATACTATATTCTCGATGCTATTCACCACACCCCATATACTGTCTACTGTACACTTCACAAGACATTCCACATGCTAAGGATATTTCTACTTACGTTCGACATTTGCCGGCGTCATAAGCTGCATCCGATAGGCTCGGAGACTCCAAACCCAAAAGCCCCGAAGTCCCGAAAGCGCCTAGTGGACCCTGAAAGATCTAGGGATATTTTAAGGTGTACTGTCTATGTAGGGTTTAGGGCTTTGGGTTAAATAGATTCAAGCCCAAAACGTCCTATCCAGCAGTATTTTTCCACTGCCTTGCCTTTTACATCTGGGATTTAGAATTTTTCGGAGGAACCTGAAGCATGCTAAGTCCTGCTAAGCCAGCCAGTTACCAGTTACAATGCAAACCAACGCTAAACACAACCGAAACCTGGAAACCGTTCGGCCCAGCACCCTTTAACCACTTGCTCCCATACACCCCTACAAAACCCTAGTAGACCTTCATAAGAGCCCTCAACATCGCTAAAACCCGCAGCTTGAGCCTGGTCCAGGACTGCACGAAAAGGCATCGCTGGCTGAACCAGCTCTTGATCCAGAAATTCACTGTGACATGCACGAGCTATACATGTGCACACATGTGCATGTGTGAATGAACGTATGGATGCATGCATATAAACGGTGCATGCTGAATAAAGTCTGTGTTCACCTGCTGGCCTTACATGCTGGTTCGGTTCCGCCTCTTCGTATAGTATTGCTGCTATATCGGATTTCCTCCTTTTGCCACACCAATCACACATCAGTCCTCGAAAGGCAGCTAGACTCTGCAACTGCGCAGAGGGGACGTCCAGCAAGGTCACACGTCGCACGATGGAGCAAGGAGCGAACACCGGCCCAAAGTGAACGACCGGGCAACCGTTCTCAATGCCACCACCGAGCTTCACCGAACTTCACTACTCAGCATATGCTGTAAAGGGATGCAAAGGGGCCAGCACTCACCTCTCATGCCCGCACCAGGTCCTTCCGGGCCGACGGAGAGGGGAGTTCCGGCAAAGCCGGCCTGCACCCTGGCAAGTGCGGCATCAGCAGAAGAACGAGCTGCAGCGGCCTCTGCCAGCGACAGTGTGGAGCACGCACTCCCATCGTGCTGGCATGTGCTGCAATCGCAATGGCTGAGTTCGCCTTGCAATCCTTTAATTTGTGGTGATCAGCCACTTGCGTTGCAGCCTGAAGAGCAGCTCCTGTGGTCGTCGCCCTGGCTTACGCCGCACGGTTAACTGCGTCATAGTATAGTGTGCAACCGTTCCGTTGGGCTCAGTCTTGCCCTTCAGGTCGTGACTAGTTTGTGTGGCAACCAGCTGGTGTGATGTTTTCCAATGAGGTTGGTGTGCCACTGAGCATGGTGCTTTCACGTAGGAGCTTGTGCTGAGAAAGCCGGGCGTTGGCTGCGCTGGCCATGGTGTTGGTGTCAGTGCCATGGGGAAAAACGTCTTCGAGTCAGGGACCACATCACGAGAATAGTATAGGTAACTATTTCCGACCCCTATATAAAACCCCCATACTGCCCGTTATAGTAACCCTAATAGGACCCGTTTTAAGAACCCTTTAAAGGAACCCTATTATGATCATTAGGTTCTTCTGGAAGTGAAGTGCCCCACGGTTTTTGCATTTGGCAGCAGCGGGCAGCAGGGAGACCAGAGGCCTGAAGAGGGCTCGAGCCGATTGCATCGAAAAAGGTTAACACGGGTCCTATTAGCTTTACTATAAGGGTTGTTATGGGGGTTTAACATAGGGGTCAGAAATAGTTACCTATACTGCTCAAACTAACGCCGCCTGCTGCTCTGCTCCAGGTCTCTCTCTCTCTCTCTCTCTCTCTCTCTCTCCGTCCCTCCCGCTCCAAATCTGTGTATTCCGCTGTCTTCCAAGAGAATGCCGGGTCCTGTCGCGGCTACCTTTGTGCAGCTCAAGCTGCGGTGCCTGCCTTCAACCACGGAGTGAGACTGAAGTGCCGATTGAAGATGTCCACCCTAAGCACTGAAAAACCTGAAATATGCCTTCAGTGCCAGTGCCTGTTCACTGCCGTGTCATCTTCGCACTAAATGCCGACCCTGGCGCTTGCGCTTCTTCCAGAGCAAGTGGACTTGCTTCAACCGCTAAGCCAGCCAATCTCACTTGCGGCGCTTGTGAATAAGTTGGAAAAACCTGAGTGAGTGCCACTCATGCAAGGTCATGACTTTGCATGCGTGAGCTGCTCTACATGTCGGACTCAAGCACATGCTGGAACAAAGATGAGGACGATGTCGCAAGAACAACTCACCGGCTTGACAACGACTTCGCATGAAATCGATAGTCGGACCAGAGGTTCGACTCTTTCGGTATCTCGATATCCATCTGCTCCGAGACTGAACAACTCCTGGCAACAACCAGGTCATGTACCTATCTGCGGGGCTCGGGTCTAGTTTCACGAATATTCTTCTGCTTGTTACTCTTTCTCTTCCTGCTACTGCTGACTTCTACGACTACGACCACGACAACGACAAGCAAACCGTCAACGACAGGTGCCGCCGCGGTGCCGATCGAAAACCGACCACGGCAAATCTGCCGCTTTGACCTGCGACGGTGAGAAGAATTATCCGGAGATGGATACGCCGCTAGACCTTGCGAAGTCTTTGGGCTCAGCTTGCAAGGTCCAATGCGAACAGTTCGGATCTTCACCAAGACTCAGAAGCGTTTATGTATGGCCATGACTCAATTGTTGAAGATGATGGCGGTAATGATGATGACGCTACTCCCCCCTGCTCTTGCAAACGTTGGCATTAGTAGGGTGGTATGTATTGTATTCGTATGTTTCCCGTGTCGGCGAACCTTATCAGCAGTGAGCAACGGGCCAGAATTAAGTTGCAGCCTAAGGCCCAGATCCAGAATTGATATCTGTATCTATGGAGCTGATGCGTTTTGCATTGCTTTGCATTTAAGTCTGTCTTTACTGTCCGATCTTCTGTGGCATTTATTCATAATTTGTGTGTTCTATTGTGGTGTTTTCGTTGCTTTCATGTGGTTTTACGGTTTTTCTATGGTTCTGCTGGTCCCGCCCCTCCCTTTTTCAGGGCCCAAGGCTACATCATTAACAACCATGATTCCTTTATGGGTTTGCTAGGCCCGGGCCCAAAGCAATAGCAAAACCCTAAACAACAATCATGAATTTCCATAGTTTTTTGTTTATGTATGTTGTGTGGTTTGTTATTTTTTTGCTAGCCCACCACTCCCCTTTTCAGCCCACAAGGCCAAAATTATAGCAAATCAGTACACGTCATGGATGTTTTTGGTAATAGCGAAAACAAAGAAGAACTGTTGATGTTTTGTAGTTTTGCCCCCCTCCCGCTCCTTTTCCCAGGGCCAAAGGCCAAAATCATAGCAAACACATTGAAAACCACAGAGTTTTTATGGTTTTGCAAGGCCCAGGGTCAAAACCCATGGCAAAAGCATAACTGTGGCTTGGTGGTTCCTGACTGTTGCTGCCAGTGTGAACCACCTGGGAGTTTCCCCGAAAAGGGGGGAGGATCCTAATTATAAGGACCCAAAATTAAGGTACGCCTAATTTTCGGAAACTCTAAGCCCTCATAGAGCCCTTTAAAGGAACCCTTATAGTACCCCGTATATAGTAAACCTGTAGGTATCCTTATAGTACCCCTTATATAGTAACTCTTTAAAGGAACCTTTATAGCACCCCTTATGTAGTAACCCTTTAAAGGAACCCCTACTGTACCCCTAAGTTTCGGAAACGGACCCCACTTCTCGGCCCTTGCTGGCCTGGGACTTGAAGTCCTCCAGGCGAGTCTCCACATCCGCCTCGTACTCTTGGAACAGCTCCTGGACAGCACAGGGCTAACACAGGGACCTTAATAAGTAGAATAGGGTTCCTTTAAAGGGGCCTATGAGGGTTACTATAAGGGATCTATAAGGGTACTACAATGTAGGAGCCCAATGCAGGGGCTTGGACTGCGCAGCCCTAATGACAAGACATGAGGTTCAAGAGCGTCATCGCCATGGTTGTAAACCATCCCTACTTGGAGGTTTACGGGTAGTTATAAGTGGGGGATATAAGTAGGGTAACTATATTCATAACCCTTATTAGGGGACTTATAACTCGACATATTACTACCCATGAACCTCCAAGCTGGACTGCACAGGCCTACGGGCCTGCACATGGGAGCTCCAGAAAACCCGGCCTTCCGCTACAGAACTCCCTCAACGAGACCCGACAATGCATGCATGTTGGCCATGAAGAAAAACACAGTTTGTATGTGTTATAACATACGTGTATACAAAGATATACACACACATGGCCGAGCATGGCTCATGCAGCCTGAATGTATGTCATCTATGTGCCAGGAGGCTCACGCACGCCCCTTGTATACCTTCGCCAGTTAGCCTGGAACTGTCTGTTACAGTCTTTGAGCGCACTCTAGAGCTCAGGGACCCTTCCTGGCACCTCACAGCACCGGCCGGTCCAGCGACTAATTTGCATGCTCCTGGAGGCCGAGTTCTCTGTAGATTTCCTTGATCTTGGACTCTTCTTGGCTGCCAACCTGCCGCACCATTGAAGAAGATCTGCGGAAGAACCAAGCACGAATGACAGATGAAACCAACACTGACAAAAACAACCTTACAAAGATGCCACCTCCACCATCGGCTGGAAGAGTAACAACAGCGAGAAGCCAGCTAATTCCCTTGCCACCACGAAATGCCTGTCATTGGTCTGTGAGAACTGCAAGCCAGAAATAAACACGACTCCCGTCAACAGCTGTTGATTAAAGACCGATTTCGGGACGCAGGCTCTATTTCGTATCGAATTCTTAAAGTTGTGTTTACGTGTCCGAGACTCCCTGAATGTGCGGAAAGTAACCGGGGCGCAAGAGGATCCTATCCCTGTGGTACAAGCATCGGGCAGTGAGAAAAACCACGACAAATGCAAAGGGACCTAAATAACAGGAATAGGGCTCCTTTAAAGGGGCCTATGAGGGTTACTATATCTGATCTATAATATAAGGGTACTACAATGTAGGAGCCGAATCCAACGACCACAGATCAGCAACGACCACCGCAGGACCTCACATTTGCCATAGTGCTCGTCCAAGAATTTTATTGCCTGCAGCAGGCTGAAGTTTCTGCAAAGAAGAACTTCAGAGTTGGGGATGGGCAATAGCTGCGAATGCTTGATCACCCTCGGGTCGGAAACGCAGGTTACCTTTCTGTGGATTCCCTTCAACACGAGCTCCATCTATCTTTTATTTCTGTGAACACACTTCGTGGGTACAACGATTTTGCTGGTCTTCCTGTGCTGGTGATAAGTCTGGCGCGTCTCATATTGTAACCGCCGCAATTACTTCTTCTAATGGTCCCGTTGCTGCCTCTACTGCTCCCAACCCTTCTGTGACGCCTACCTCAATCACTCGCCCTTCTCCTTCTCCTCCTCCTCCTCCTTCTTCTCCTACTCCTACCACCACTACTACCACCACCACCACGCCACGACGACGACTACTCCTAACTCCCAACTCCAACTCCAACTCCTACTCCTACTGCTGCTGCTGCTGCTACTGCGAATGTTCAATCCAAAGAGTCTGACTTTGAAAGAGGGCTTCTTCCTGGGCCCTGGGCGTGGCTCTCTCTGGAGATTGGACTCTTAATTCCCCAACCTGAGCCCTCTTGGACTCGCAGCCTCCGGAGTGCTTTGCTCGTGGTAGGCATGCGCGAACAGCCAGCTGCACTTCTTGTCCTCGAAGAGATGTAGGTCAAGACGATCAGTGAGAATGCAAGTTGCAGTCCTGGATGTCAGTTCCGACCTTAGGCACACTAACTCATGACGCTCACAGGGCTGCAAGAACTTCTCTTTGACAGACTGGTGCCCCATTCACCCCAGCCAGCATAGGCTACCTCCCCCAAAACTGCGAAACCTTTAGCAGCCGGAAGTCCAACCAATACGAAGAGAACCCAAGAATCCTGTAATTCTGGTGCCTTCATAATTAGAATAGGGTTTTGGGGCCTATCATACCGAAATTATAGTAAGGAACCCCCCACAATAGTATTGGTAATTATGTAAGCCCCCAAATTAGACTGGGGCCGGCACTTTGCCGAGCACCTCTGCTCGAGAGGGAGCGGGGGGGGCGTTGGGGCTCTCAGGCTTCAAGAATCGTGGGCTCTATAAGGGTTTAGGGTTCCTTTAAGAGGGATCTATAAGGGTTCCTATAATGGGATCTATAAGGGTTTAGGGTTCCTTTGAAAGGGATCTATAAGGGTTCCTATAATGGGATCTATAAGGGTTTAGGGTTCCTGTAAAAGGGATCTATCAGGGTTCCTATAATGGGATCTATAAGGGTTTAGGGTTCCTGTAAAGGGATCTATCAGGGTTCCTATAATGGGATCTATAAGGGTTTAGGGTTCCTTTAAAAGGGGTCTATAAGGGTTCCTATAATGGGATCTATAAGGGTTTAGGGTCTGCCTGGAGGCTCGGGACTTAGTAAGTAGGGTTTAGGGTTCCTTTTTAGGGTACTATAGGGTTCTATAATGGGGTTCCTTGAAGGGATCTATAAGGGTTCTATAACGGGGGGATCATGGGACTTAGTAAGTAAGGTTATAAGTACCTTAATTGGGGTGAGAAGTAATTATAAGTATAGTTTCCTTAACTATAACCCTGGTTACTAAGTCCCATGATCCTCCAAGTGGAGTCCAGGCTTCGGGTGTGCGAACAGCTGTTCAACAGCACCTATGAAGTGCAGGGACAGCTCAATAAGACGTGTCCTAATACCCACACATTCTCAGCTACCAGCTACCGAGAACGCTTTTCACTACCAAAGGCCGACGCACTTCCAGACTTTCCCAATCGCGAGAGCCCCTCTGCCTACGAAGTATTGCGCTCAACAAATCCAAACATGCTACCCTGAAGCCCTCAACCAGGCCAATGTTCACTCTCAACTCTTGTAGAAGATCTCATAAACAAAATCCCTTAAACAAAGGAACCTTCATAGAAACCCTCACCGAAACCCTTCAGAGGAATCGTTCTGGTCTCAGCCTTAACAGCATGCCTATAGGAACCTCCATATGCTCCTGTACAGGAATCCCTGGAACTTAAGGAACCTTAATTGAAACCCTGAACGGTGAACTTAACCTCAAACCCCTATGTAAACCCTCAACCCTGGACTCCAAAACATGTGAAGCCAGGCTTTAGGCAGCTCCGGCCCCCAGCCTCCGGACTCGCGAAAGCGTCCAAGTAGTCATCCTGGGCCTGCAAGGAAATTGATACAGGGTTTTGGGGCTCGGGGTTTAGGGGTTCGGGGTTTAGGGGTTGATTCGGGGTTTAAGCGTGAGAGTGTAGGGGGGGGGGGTCTTAGTCTTCCGAATAGGGCTTTGGGGTATCGTAATATATTCATTAAACTTATCATTACCATATAGGAATCCCCATAAGGTTTGTGTAATAGAACGGCCTTCATATTCAGAGTAGGGTTTTAGGGGTACAGTGCACCATCATGATAATAAGGAAACCCAAAATAGTGACAGCATCTTGAGCGTTCCAGTAAGATTCCTGCAGGCCTTCCTTTAAGGGTCCCTTTAAGGGCTCTTTTAATGCTTTACTGTAAGGGATACCGTGAGCGGTTCTACAATTTGGGGATGAGGGTCAAGGGTGGAGGAACTAAAGCCTCGACTTAACCTTAAAACCCTAAACCCTCCAGAAAATTTGTGGTGATCCCGGGGTCTGAAGCTCAGGTAGATTGTATAGCATGTGCCATCGCAGTCGATGTCGTAGTAGTCAAAGTCAAAGTTGTAGCAGCACCCAGATGAACAACTACTGTGATGGTTCGTGCAGGTTGTAGAGTCCGGCTTCGTTCAGGTTGTACGGCTGGCGACTAGTCAATGCGTTGCGAGTCGAGACGGCAATGGCAATTGCTGCCGGCGTGGTGGAAGAATTGATACTCGAATGGTGACTACGACTGTCGCCGTCGTCGGTCTTATGATCAATGAACGTATCCGTGTTTTGATCACGGAAGGAGCCTGAGATTACCATTACCTTTTGCTGCTGGTAGCCACTGGTGCAGACGTTACGACTAACACAGTCCTGAAGTCTGATTAACCCCCTAAAATCTTGAAGTCCTTTTAGCCCCTAGACCCCCAACCCCTGCTTGTCTTCGTCTTGCGGCAGGGCCTGGAAGTAGATGCCCATCAACCTGAGCACGACCCGTTCAGAACCCAGGAAGCACCAGAACGGAGAGAAGGGCTTAAAGACTTAGGGTTCATAGGGATACGGGTTAAGCGTTACGGGTCTAGGGTTCCATTTTCCCCCGTTGCAATCATGCCTTGCTGTCCCTTGGAAGTCGTTTGAGAAAACTGCAGAGATGTGCAGAGATTTTGCCACCCAGTCAGTTGGACACACAACAGGCTGTACGACAGGCCGGAGCGCGAGCAGACCTGTGCCACAGGAGAGAAGCAGTACATAGGAGGGAGCCCCAATTTGACAACAGGCTAAGGATACCCCAAACATGATTGTCCAAAGTACCTTCTGGCCCTTCTGTATGTGCTGCTATGGCTATGGGACGAAGACACTTGGGCCCTAAATACCCTGAACGTGCCCGTGCATGCCCAGGAGCAGCAACGCTTCCCGCGCAGTGTCGAAGGCCTTCTTGTCCCTAACACCCGTGACCTGCCGCGACCCAGGATTTTGTTTCCCTCTTCCCGAGGGCTTTTCATGTGAGTATAAGGTTACCTAAATGTTAGTAGAGCTCTAGATGTTGCTGTCGTGATTGTACGTAGTAGTTGCTGTCGCCACTAAAGTGGTGAGGCTTCTTGTTGTTTCTACTCCATGCTGCTGCTGCTGCTGCTGCTGCTGCTGCTGCTGCTGCTGCTGCTTAGATTTTCGTCTGCTACTACTCACTACTCATGCTGCTGTCACGGCTATTGTTGGCAAGAAGTGGTGGTAGGGTGGGAGGGGTGGCATGGGTGAGTGGATCCGGAGGGGAGGCAGGGGGTTGGTGGATGGGGGTGGCAGGGGTGGGGGTGGGCACGAATGATTACCGTCCCGCACCCCATCGAAAGGAACGATACTTACAATAACTTATCGGAAATAATACCGAGAAGTTACGCTCCCGACTGCATCGAATCGTCACAGGCATGGTTGCTGTTCTTACTGCCGGCACTTTGCGGCTCAGTGTCACCAGTCTTGCAGCTACGAAGACAGCACTCCGGAGAAGCGCATTGTAGCAGCGTGGCGCACCAGCATTGCGAGAGCCACCGGGAGGTAGAAGGAGTAGAAAGCCGTCTTGTATTTCCTGCAGGGCGACTGCGATGCATCCTAAGCCCTAACATCCCAGAAACCCCATCGAAGTCTAAGACGTCGGGCTTTTGAGGTGCTTGGAGCTTCGCTTGGTCACCGTCGGGTTCAGGCCGAGGCGCACGATCAGCGTCCAGCGCTCGGTCGTCAGCTCCTGTATGCATGGAGTGCTGCGGGAGCGGCTTCGTGGAAATCATGTTGGTCTGAATGTGGCCATGGTGTGAGTTGCATAACAAGAGATGTTGGTGCGGGTTTCAGTTTTCAATGCTGTTGCAAGGCTCTCATCCTAACTCAAGCTTTCGGAGAAGGCTATGTCGGGGTTGGCTGAGATTCATTCAAGCAGATGGCTTCCAACAGCTTCTGCACCAAGTTGGTGCCAAGTCTGATGGGCTGCAAACAGGGCCATGACCTGAAGTGGTTCTAGAAAGGAACCTAAAACCTGAGTCAGGATGAAAGCTTGCCTCCAACTCGCAGTTGGCGCAGATCGAGTCCAACAGCTGACCGCATTCTGTCTGGAAAGTCGTCTCCTGGCTTCAGTCCATGAGTGCGGGCTGCTGAGGGCTTCCGACTTTACGGTCTTCCATCGCATTTGTGGTCTTTGGCAATAAATCGAAACAAGAAGTGCAGCCAGGTCGCCAGGAAAAGGTCCATAAGCCAGGGGAAGATGCGTTCCTGGATCCAGGTCCAGCCATATTGAACAGGATCTTGGGGCAACGTTTTAAGTTTTGGGCCTGACTCGCGCAAACGCTAACATCCCGCCTGGCCGAAGTGTCGCTTGAGGATTTTGTAGACCTCACAACTCAGCACGTGAGGCATAGGAGGACCTCGCCAATAACTACTCTTATTACACATCCATCTGCCTGTCCCTTTATGCTGCAGTAGGAAAATCTCGAATGGTCTCTCCGACGTTCTACGCCGCTAGCTGGCTGCTGCGCGGACTGCAGAGGCCACCCTCCATGCCGCCGCGGTACAAACATCTCCACCATCAGGAAATCGTTGGTATTCAGCAGGCCGACATGGGGGAGCCTGGTTCTGGCTTTCTGCACTCGCAGGGTTGGGGTCTATAGGGACTTCGGATTTGGGGTTTCGGGTCGGGTTTAGGGTTATGGGAGCTGAGATCACCTAAATACACCCCTGGTTGCCCAACGGACCTGTACCAGCAGGGGTTTCCGCGTCGTGTCACCGAGCCGTCCATCATGTCATCCGCCATGAGCATGCAGGCCTAAACCGCACACATCAAAGATAAAGGTCTGCAGTTCCACCAGCACGACAATGCGCGGCACCACGCCTGGAGGTACTCCACTGCCCAGCCCAACACAGCGAAGCGATTCAGGTCAGCATTGGTGGGCTCCCGGCCCTGGAAGGCAGGTGCACAGATCATGATAAATGCGGTATGCTATGCTCTAGTCAACCCGGCATAAGAGAACTGGTCATTCCTCAACCGTCCTGTATCAAGTCTGACAGTCACCACGCCACAACGGTAGGCCCCCGAAAACCGAAACTCTAAATTGCAATCGAGACGTCGATATACGTCGATCCGTCGGTTTGCCTGGTGTTTCATGATCGCCACTCCAGTCTCCACGACGATAAGGCCGCGATTCATCTTCCCGCCCTGCCTAACAGCGACAGCCCAGGCAACTACTGCAAAAAAAGGGCTCGGACCCCCAGGACTCCGCGAGGTTCAGGTTTGAGAAAGTAGGATTCAAGCCATGCCCGTCTGGACATCTGTATGTATGTACGTAAATACAGACAGACAGCCGGCCAGCCAGACAGAACTACACACATCTTCCTGAAATATATATATATATATATATATATATATACATATATATATATATATATATATATATATCATGTATATGCTTGTATATAGACTATATATATATGTGTGTGTGTATATATATATATATATATATATGTCTGTGTGTGTACAGGTGCACAGGCTGATTGGGAAGGTCAGCATGCACCTGTATGCCGAAAATACTCCAGCATCCCTGCAACCTTACACTCTTCACCATCTGAAGGACAAAGTCACGGGTCCGGGTTTGGGGTGCAGAGCCTGATATATTGTTGCCGGACACTCCCGCCCCCGGCTCACTAAACCCCATAGCCAACCCTGAAGCTCAACTGTACCATAATAACAATAACAACAATAGCAATAATAACAATAATAATAGTAGTAATAATAATAATAAAAATAAAAAATAATAATAATAATAATAATGATAATAATAATAATAATAATAAGAATAAGAAGAAGAATAATAATAATAGTAATAGTAATAGAAATAGTAATAATAATAATCATCATCATAACAATAATAAGAATAATAGTAATAATAATAATCCTTACATTCAAAGACGACAGCCTTGAATTGGAAGTCGGAAGCAGAGGAATCGAAGGACTCATAAGTCGGAAGCCAAGGTGCTGGGAGTTTTGATAGGGCTTACCCAAAGGCCCCAAAGTAGGTCCTTTTTGGGGTTCATATATAGAATCCTATAAGGTAATCCCAAAAAGGAACTACTTTGGGGCCTATGGGTAACGGTTACTGGTTACTGAGCTCTGAAACCCCGCCTGTCAATCAGAAGAAGAGACCGCCACGGCCAAAACTAAAATATCTATAGCTTACAAATAGCAATACAAGTTCACGGAGCTGCGAAATCGTAGCTGAATCATCCGCACCGCAGCCGGCATGCCAGAACGCAATGCCCTACAAAGCCGGAACCGACACCCTGCCGAGAAAGGCGAGCTGCGTGTTGTACTCCAGCGAATCCTCCACCCATTTCGCCTTCGTGTGAGATCTTCTGACATGTACGAGTAAGAATGCGTGACTCTGAACACCGTAGTTGAAAGCACAGCCTCTCAGCTCCAAACCCTGTGTAGCCCAATTCTTGGAAGCATACCCCCGACGCTTCTAATTCTCAACGGCCTCCTTTTGAGGCAGCTCGTAGAGTGCGGGGAGCTCGTCAACCATCTCCTTCTTGGCCGTACTATATTCGGCATATCAAAATACACTTATGTAGAGTCTTAATACGGAAACCTGAACAACAATATTGGTAGTTATTCCGGCTTCTATGTTAAGACGTCTGCTAACTGTAGAAAGTATCAGTATTGTAAAAGAAAGGACTCTACAGGTTCATGAGCCAAGGATAGAAAAGAAAGAAACGTCAAAACCCCGTTGGGGACGATAAGGAAAGTGAAGCCAACTAAGGGAAAACGAGAAGCAATGAGAAGAAGAAGCACATGCAGACTAGACAGTCAGAGAAAAACAGTTGCACTCAAGAAAGGAACAAAACAAAAGAAAGCGAGCCACACGGAGATGTGTGCTTCTGGCCGGCTCCTGGCCAATAGCAACACAATCGGAAGCGGCTCTCGATTCACGGTTTATGCCTGGATTTGTGCTTGCACAAACCTGCTGTGCATGCGGAGCTAAACTCCCCCTGCAGTACTTCTGGCAGCGCATTATGCTCCCTGTTGCATGTCTGGTCTGCTGCCTGACTTGGTGTCAAACCGATTCTACCATGAACCTCACTCTGGAAACATCTTGACAAGAAGCAAACGGTCTCTGCACTGAAGTTTGTACTGGGACCAGCTTGGCTCTAGGGGATTTCTCAACCGCAATCATCATCGCTGCTATTGCCAGCAACACAGCACCACAGGCATCGCCAAGCCCACGATCATCAAACACAACATGAGCACTGCCAACGAAGCCAACACAAATAACAAAGTCACACATCATCGACATCACCAACATCAAACTAAATTCAAGCAGCAGCAGCGGCAGCAGCTGCAACAACCTTGTGATTAATCTCAATAGCTGTCGTTGCTACAGTAATTACTCTTTTCCTCGCAGCCCTACTGAAAATCCCACCGCTGCTACTGCTGCTGCTAAGTATTACTGCTGATATGCTCATGCTGTTCAAACTACGATCACTACGACTGCGACTGTCTCTACTACTTCTACTGCTACTGCCACCGCGACAGCTACTCCTACTGCTACTGCTGCAGCTCCTTCTCCTGCTGCTACGGCTGATGCTACTGCTGTTTGTACAGCTGTGTAACTATGTTCACAGCTACCACTACCACTACTGCTGCCGCAAGTGATGCTCCTGCTACTGCCACTGCTACTGCTACCGCTGCGGCTGCTGCTGCTACTGCTGCTACTGCTCCTGCTACTGCTCGACGACATCGTCGCAGGGGTACCAGAGTCAGTACCAGAATTGCTTCGACTTAGCAGTGTAAAATCTAGTCGTAGTGTGCACGCTTGTGGTTGGGAAGTAGGCGTCCTTCAGAATCTGCCGCCCAACTCGGTTGAAGGAACCGATCGGATCCGTCATGTCATACTCCTCACAGGGCAGGGCCAGAGGTTCTTCGTGTCTGACAACAGCAGGGATGGAGCCTGGCTAAACATTGGAATTTCCAGAGAGAAAGCCTGGCCAACGAAAAAGACCCACCTCCGTGTACTCGGTCGTGAATGCAGGTTTTCCTCGTGGCCAGCAAGTGGCGGGATTTGCCTCGTAGGCCGAAATCAGTCGTCAGGATCCAAAGCCACGAAGGGCCTTCAAATCCACAAGTGCAGTCGAGAAGATTAGGGCGGACACTCCAACTCCATCCTCCAATCCTGTCAGGGATTCCGAAGGCGTCATCCGCAAGTCGCTAATCACTGCGAAAAAATCGTTATGGGAAAATGAGGACGCGGCCGACAGCAGCTTCAAGAACTTCACTCCTTGAGCCGCACGGGTTGCCACAACTAAATCTTCAAACAAAATTCCAGAGCTGCAACAATAACTCACACGCGGCCAACATGTCCTGCTTTTAGTTGCCGTGGCTGAAGCACTACTTTTGGCCACGCCTGCATCGGGGGAGACTGCATCTGCGGAATCAACGCAAAATGCAATACATTTTAAACATCTATGACGAGCGCGGGCATCTGTCTCAGTGAAAGCTACACCCCAATCCCATTGTTGCCCAGAAGCCGCCAGAAGCCAAAACCGAGCCTGAATGACGCCCATTGGCCTTGGCTTGCCGAGCAGTCAGTCTCAGATCTCGCTTGTGAGACCAGCTCTGTGCTACTCCCTCTGGGTGCTGTCTCTGCAATACCATCGTAAGCAATGTAAGCCAAGTATGAACATGGCTACCGAAGCTTCTGTTCATGCATGTTCATGTTGATAGTACTCGATCTGGCAATATGAGACATTCTGAAAACCAGAGACAACACACGAGAGAATGGAAGATGTAGACACATGCAAGAGGAAATTTCAACCAAGCTACAATATGACGATCAGGAGCAAGTGAGACGGTATGAGTAAGAACCTGATCAGCAGTGTTGAACCTAGCGCGTAGGCAGCATCTGCACAACCGCCGACAGAGCAACAACAGAACTCAAAACAACAAGAACTGAAACAACAACGGCAATTGCTACTGCTACAGCTACTACTACCCTACCATTACTACGACGGGGACTACTGTTTCTCCTACAGCCGCCACCAACACCCACCACTTACCGCCACCTCAAAATGGCACGACAGAGTTCACCAACCCCTCGCGGAAAGCCAACTAGGCGTATCTGTTCGGCGTCGGCTGGGCGCCCAACCAATCTGGAACGAGACAAGGCTTTCTTGACTCCTGATTTGCAGTGAAACAGAGGCAAGTGACAGCCAAATGGATAACAGGTGAGTGGTGGTTATCTGCTTGGTAGAAGGGTAGACATTAAGAGGAATCTCGGCTCCAACCGGGTCGGACCCGTACTTGAAGCTTAAAATCAGGAAGATCAGATTTTCACCTGCAGCACTGGCCTCCAGCGAGGATGGCAACTGCTCCCGCGCAGGCCCAAGGTCTGGGGAGCAAGCAAGAGCGGCAAATACTGGGGTCTTCTGTAGGCTTTCTATGCATCTTACAATCAGGATACCGTGTTCCGGGCTCTGCATTAGGGTACCCTGTTTGCTGGAACTCGTATGCAGCACTAGCATGTTGCAACACTGAGAGAAGCATTGCTCATATCCTGTGCCGTTCGCTCGTCCAGCCTCTGCCCGAAGCCAGCTTCGCTGGATCCTGTACTGAAACGACACGGGCGGACCCACAAAAAACGAAGAGAAACATTGAAAACGCTACAGTGATGACGAAGAGGATGAGGACCGTCTCATGCCAGCCGTGGGATATTGACGATGCTGAAGGCCGAACGCGTTAACGGCGACAACGATCGAGATGATGCCAATCGTCAAGATCTTTCTGTCAAGGACAAAATTTCGGTGCAGATGCCGGTGCTGCTGCGTGAGTATTCGCACACAGAAAAATACCTTATGCAACTACACTTCTCTTCCTCCTCGTACTGCAAATTCGACAGCTGCTCCTTAGGATTAACATTATAGAAGTACTATGCTGTTAGTATTGCTATCACCATAAGTAGCAACTACTACGCTAGTAGTATTGCTAGTACTTGTACTACTACTCCTACTATTCCGAAATTGATTCAGAAGAAGCGCGGATGCCTGGTGCAGACGAACGTGAGAGCGAAGGAACTGTACCTTCGAGTGTGGCAGCAGTCTGCAGGTCCGTCGAAGAGTTTAAGAGCAACACAATGTTGGTTCCGCAACACTTACGTTCCACATACTGCGGCTCCACCAACAGGTCCTGCCTTGCCCTCTGAGGCTAGGTGTGTGAACCTGCAGCCATTGCAGCGTAATGACGCATGATTTCTTCGGAACGATTTTCGTTTCCGTAGCGACGCACGTGTTCTCGTAGCGCCCTCAAGTAGACTCTAAAGACTCTAAAGAGTCATGTAGTGGCAATAGTGTTGGTCAGATATCACCATGCCACGATGCAACCCACGATAAAGCAACGACGACGAAACATGCTGATCGAAGAGTGCACACTTGTCCCATGTCGTCCGAAACAGTGGCGAGGTCTGCGATGATCCGGATTTTGTTCATACCGATCTTGATTCGATGCATTGGTACAGGATTCCCAGAGGGTCGGTCTGTACTGCAGACAGAAAGCAGACAAACATTAGCAAGTCTGGGAGGGAAGAAAACGAACAAATGGAAGGTTTCGAGAGTCGCGTGTATTGGTGTCCTTGAGCAACAAAACCTAACAACAGGAATGATAGTGCGACCACCTGAAATCCAAGCCTTCGTCATCCCGGTTTATGAGCATCATCCCAGCTGTGATGTCAATTGCACGGAGTGAAGCTTCGTCTGGCCCAGCATAGGTTGCAGCAAAGACAATCTTCATTACAAGAGTGCTTGGAATCGTGCAGAAGTTGAGGCAAGTGGTTCCCTAAACGCGAAAGCCTCATCCCAGAAAAGCCGCACCCTCGCATGCTTGTGAGTACTGTTGTTGTTGGTCTCCTGATCCATACATCTTCAGGTCAGCTCGGGCCCCGACACCGGAAGGAACCGCCCAAGCAAGGGCCTGAGCTGTCTTAGACCACCCGAAGGAAGCAGCCTGCACTGTACCCGTGCAGACCAAGCCGTAACCTCTAAAGGGCAGAACAAGTGAAGAGGCCCTAGCAGGCTCGAAGCCCCAGCATTGACTCCAAAACCTCAATATTTAAATTCATGGATATATAAAGCCATATTTCTCTTCGTCTCCTCAACTAACGTTAAACCCCAAAGCCGAACCAAAGCATCGAAAACGCTCAAGCTTAACCCCGAGGGGAACCCTAACCCAGCAAAAAATATCTAAAACAACAAAACCCCAGCATAGCCCACCCCGTGAACCCTTGAAGCACTAAACCCTGAGAGCGTTTTCAACTCCTGATACCTTTCCTTACTTTGGTTAGTAGGGAATGGATGAATGGTAGTAATAGTAATTATAGTTGTACCCCATTCTTCCATTCCCTACTAACCAAAGGTAAGTTTCTCCATGAAACCCGGAGAACTCCGAGGCAAAAGCTCCCGTAGCCAGCACACCGGTCGCGACGGCGGCGGCTGTGGGAGCCTGGATTTAGGGTTCAGGGTTTAGGCGTTTGGGGGTTTTGGGTTTAGGGGTTTTGGGTCCTGGTCTTTGCTGACAAGCTTTGTGGGCTTCGGCACTTTAAAGTTTCAGGTGTACTGTTTGGTCTTTCGGGGTGTGTTATGACAGAAGGTTGGCCTGCTTACGGCTGGTGGTATCTGATTATGGCGGTTGTTGATCTTTGGGGTATGTGGTGCTGGGTTCGAGGATCTGTCGATGTCCACAAAAACAACGACGATGACTTCTGCTCCTGCTCCCGCTCCGGCAGCCAGTTGTGTTTGTACTCCTGCGCATATCTCCGGGTAGACATGGACAATACTACTGCATCCCTCGACCCGCGCCGAGAACCTAGAGCCTCCCAATCGCAAGCATGTCGCAAACTCATTCTGGGCAGTGTTGGCTGCATTGTTGGAGTGCCTCTTCGATCCCTGGCCTTAAACCATTCCCAAACCCGGGATTTTCTCGCCTCAGCAAAGCTGCGCCGCTGCATGGCCCAAGGCTTGCAGGCCTTGTCTGGCGGTGGTTGCAGTACCGAAGTAGTGACTAAGTAGTGTTGGTGGTGACAGCACCTTGCCAGTAAAGCAGTTCCTTGGCCTCGGGGGACTGGGAAGCGGAGTGCGTCTTTTCGTTGGAAAGATTAATTTTGGGCTGGGCAAGATTACGCAATTAAACAAGATGAAAGCTAGCTTTCGATTGGGAAATAACGGTTTCGGTGGTCAGTCGTATGTAGCAGCACCATCGAGGAGCAGCACCGTTGACAACACCATCATCATCGTCACCATCATCATAATCATTGCCATCGTCACAATACACAATCAACAAATTCAACCATCCGTCAATCAACCAATCACTCAGCAAGCCGGCCAGCCCGCCAGCCAGCATCATGTTCAAAGTCATCTTCAACATCTTCAACACCCTCATCATCGTCATCATCAAGACCACCATCGCCAACATCATTAGCACCACCATCGTCAATCGACAACAGCCATCGTCATCATCATCATCATGATGATCATCATCATCATCACCCGCCATCACCCAAATCATCATCACTGCCATCATCACCATCACCATCACCATCATCATCAACAACAACATCGTCATCACCAACAGCCATCACCAATGACCGCTCAGCAACCCCCCACCACTCACCTTGAGTCATCATCGTTCAAAGATCAAGCATCACAACCATCACCATCAGCATCAGCATCACCAGCAGCAGCATCATTGTCAGCATCCTCATCGGCATCATCGTCAGCATCACCAGCACCATCATCAACATCATCTTCATCGTCAGCAGCCGCAGCATTATCGTGACCATCATCAACATCATCATCTCCATCATGATCGCAAACACTACTGTCGCTACTGGTGACCTCCCGCTTGAGTTCCCGGCAGGTTGCGCTCGGACAGCGCTAGACAAAAAACCCGAAACCCTGTGCTTCAAAGCTACACGCTTGGAAGGAAACGGGCCAGCCGAGGACGGAGGGCAGTTACCCTAAGGCCCCATAGTAGTTCCTTTGTGGGATTGCCTTATAGGATTCTAAATATGAACCACAAAAACGAACTACTATGAGGCCCTAGGGTACTCTCAAAGGGGCAATCCAGACGTGACTCCTGGCGCAGTCTGCGGGCTTTCGTCTTCCTCGGAGCCAAACCAGTCTGTCCAGTGCCTATGTACATTGCCGCAAGGCAGGGCACCTCTGCGCCAGAAAGGTTTGCCTCTGATGGGCATCGGCTGAAGCAGAAAAGTCTAGACTCTGGGCCTGTGTTCGGGCTGGTTTGGCTTTACACCGTCTTCCTCCATTTTGTCTTTCTTGCCTTACTCACAGATTTCTTGTTGAGCCGGTCGCAGGTGAAACAGGTCGACCGAGAGCAAGAGGTGCAAAGATGCGTGATGCCTTAGAAGGGGCCCCCACCCTGTAATCTATAAGGATTATATAGGATTATACTAGGGCCCTATTATATTCCTATTATACCACTATTACAGGGTGGGGGCAGCTTCTAAGTGATGCCTGCCTTTTGACAGGACGAGGGCTCAGCGTCGTTTCGTCGGCAGCCGCGGCAGCTGGGGACTGCCGGACTCCCTGGGAGGTGAAGAACAGCAAGGGCAAAAAGAACAAACACAAGGGCTATTTAGGGTTTAGGGTTTAGGGTTTAGGGATGCACCAGCTACTGCTGCCTGGCATGGAGCCATCGGGTTCAGGGCCTAACCCGCGACTGCATGCGTGTTGCGCGGACTGTGGTACTTCCTATTTTGGCGCTTAAGATCCCGAAGGTTCATGTGCAACACAAACGGCCTGAGATTTACGGATGCTCCACACTAGAATCTAGTCACTAGAAATCGCTTGAAGCAGCACTCCTAATGCCGTACTGCTAGTCTCTCTTCACGATGTCTCTCACATCACCATCGGATTCATCGTACTGCTGGGACTACTGCTCAGACTGATAAGGTGCTCGTATACACTTTGGTATGTCACTGCTGTGATCCGGAGTAGTAATACTGTTCCTGGCTCTCAAAATCTGAATATTGCCCGTCAATACGGTTCATGTAATCCTCACCATTCTTGCTTGTGCTGCTGCTGCCTGCTGGAGATTATGCCCACTACTGCCACATCACTCATACTATAGCGATTGGACTGCAATATTCGTAGCAAGGCTACAAAGGTTCCCGGTTCCGGTACCCGAAGCCACCGATTCGAAGGCCGGGTGAGTCAAAGCCGGGCAACATGGATAAGGACCGGCACAAACCATTACAAACATAGCCAGAACAAAGATAAGAGCCTCGTGTCATACCTCCTCCAAAGGGTTTAGGGTTTAGGGTAGACTGGATGCATGGAAAACAGGTTCTGCGTGACCACGTGCTGACGAGGCAGGGACTGGAAGCCCCCTTCACCCCGGGCTCCAAACCCAAGCCCTGAAGCCCAAGCAGAACCGCAAATCCTTGGAGTATGACGATGCATTCACATCAGTTCAGTGGCAACTGGCTGTGAACTTTCTCCCGGTACTGGGCATCCTGCTTTGCATTGCTTGCTTGCCTGGCTGCCAGCGCACATCACAGAAGAAACGAAACGGTCCGTGGGTAGCGGGGGTGGCCGCTCACTCACTTGCTGGCTTTCCCTGGCCCCAACCGCAGAGCACAACAGAAACGGCCGATCACTCGAAGTATATGAAGTATACTATCAAGACAGCTGTGAAATTTTTGTGATACATACATACATGTATACAGACACATACAATCCAAATGCATGCATGCATGGCTGCTCCAGCAGCACCAATGCATGGCAGGCTGGCATGCTTGCCAAAACACATACTTACAAGCTACGTCGCATACATACATGAACAGCTACACACATATGTGTATAGATATATATATATATATATGTACACACACACACTTAAAAACCTCAAACATCCACAAGCCGCTCGCAACTGGCATCATGTTTTCGCAAAACCTTCCCCGTCACCCGCGGGAGGAAGCGCCTTTCGGAGCTTTGCCCGTTTCTCGGCCTGCGGAAACCGCGGTCCTGGCACCCAATCACCCAGCGGCCCCATGGTAGTTCCTTTTAGGGATGACCTTATAGGATTCTGTATGAACCCAGACAGGAACTTCTTGGGGGACGTAGGGTACATCACACCAAGCACTCGGCCGGAACGCAGTTTCGGAGACTGTGCGACACGGGCGACGACGAAGACATTCAATCAGACAAGGCCTCACCAGCTGCAAACGCAGACTCTGGTACACTTGCAGATGCATCTGCCTCTCATGACATGATGCCAGAGTACTGCAAGCTAGGGACCTGCAGCATCGGCTTGAAAGCTCCAGCATTCTAGCAAGATACACCCAGACCCTATGGGCCCTGGGGCCCTAAAGCCCTAAACCGCTCCAAACCCGCTCCTCGCCAACCGCCGTGGCTGCTTCGACAGCGGCCGCTGCTTGAGCCTCTGCATCGAACACTCTAAGATTATTCATGCAGACCCTGATTTACAAACGACCTTGCCTGAAGGGCTCACATTATATACATTCGCACGACACATGAGCGTGCTCGACAAACTGGCTTCAGTATGGCGGGCTGCCGCTTAGCCTCGAGCTTTTTCATGTCAGTGCTACCTCTGCACAATGCCTTCTACTTGGCGATCGAAGAGTGCATGGCCTAGTAAGCCTTTTCTGACTCGGTTGTGGTGCGTGCTTGCATTGGTTCACCAGGTTGCAGTGGGCCTTGTCCGCTACTTCAGCTTGGTCTCGCTGCGGCTACTCCTAACCCTTCACCGTGGAACAGAAGCAGTCGATCTTAACACAGGGGCCTTAATAATTGGAATAGGGCTTCGGGGCCCACTATACTATAAATAAGGAACCCCCAAGATAGTATTGGTAAATATTCAGGCCCCTACCTTAGCCTTGCAGCGTGGTCGTCAAAACCCCAAGCAAAGGCCTGCGCAGTTCGACGCGGAGCCTCGGAGCGCGACCTGCTTCATGCGAGACACGGGTTTAGGGCTTAGGGTTTAAAGGGTTTGGGTTCCTTTAAGGGATCCATAAGGGGGCTAAGATTCGAAGAGATGTCGAGCACATGGAGTTCGAGCACCTTTTGTAAGCTAGTGTGTAAAATGATGTAAGGTAAAATTTAGGGCTCCGAGATCTTGCTTTCCTTGCTACTACCACGGCTGCTACTGCTGCGACTTCTACTGCTACCTCCAACCATTACCACAGCTACCAAAGCAAGATCACCGCGGCTACGACCACTTCGAGCACCAGAACGACAACTCCGACTAGCACATGTCTTCGTAGCATTGATTGCAATTCAAGTACACTCACTTATATCAATACCAAGAACTTGTAGCAGCAAGTTTTGCCTCTTCTCCCAAAGGTGGCACAGCAGGAATGCGGAATAAGCTGCCCCTATCCTTTGGAGGCTAAGGACGCCAGCCCAGAGCCGGTCCTAAATCTTCAGTCCAAGCCCTAATCTCTAGAACCAAAACCAAACCCCTTCATGCGTCAAGCCCTGAACGCCATTTCACCAAACTCTTAAAGCCACAAATCCTCAAACCTCCAACCCTACCTCCCCAAAACCCTAAACCCCAGAAGCCTGAAGCCCTGAAACACGTGAACACACTAAATCAAAGCTCTATAAGTGCCCTCGTATTAGCCCTTATGGTAGTCCCGACCCAAAGGCCGAGAGGATCCTGAAAGCCACAGCCCCACCTCACAGCACTGGGCTGGTTCGAAGGCCTTAGGCAAGAGGATGGCTTAGGGTTCATTGCAGGCGGTTTAGGTCTTGGTGGTGTCGGGTTTAGAGCTTCAAGGTTTACGGATTTAAGGTGTTCTGGACCGGACAACTCTGCGCCCTTTGTCCTCACTTAGCATCCGGCGCCGTGACTCGCCCTCCAGGACTGGCCTTCCAATCAGAAAGCTTCAAGTAGCAGGACCGGTCCAGCAATTCTTGATTTGTTGAGCAGGTACCGATACTCCTACTATAAGGCCTGCGTTGAACAATCTTAACCCTCAGCCATGAACACTAACGAAATTCTTGCCCTAAACACAAGGCCCAAAACGGTTCCAAGGCGTTTTATATGCAGGAGCCTGTTAACCAATGTAGATCAAGTTGTTTTGTTCTGAAGACGGTGCCTCTGACAACGAATCCCAACACTGTGGCCAAAGCTCATACGACAGTGTTGAGAAGCCGTATCTTGCCGTCGCAGACTAGGGTTTGCATCGACCCGGACTTGCATAAATGAGGGGCCACTATGGTCTTACGGAGCACGTATTAGTCCTAAGTAGGAGCAACAACGGGAGCCCAGTCCAAAGCCATGATCGGTACCCACAACCCAGTGTGACAAGCTGAGGTCGCAAACACAACAACTACCAGCAGACGTAAAGCGAGGTAGCGGTCCACAGCACCAGCACCAGAAGCAGGTTCTGCAAAGTACTCAAACAAAAAGGCGAAGATGAACTCACAGCAACACTACCAAACCACGTCAAGACTAGCAACATCTGCAGAACATTACTCCTTATCATTTTTCGGTATAACTACAGTAGAACTGTACCCCGCTCGACTGGCAAAATGGATCAGACATGTTGATGGCTCCAAGCCTTGAAAAGCCCTAAGATAGGGGCCGTAATTATTGGAAAAAAGAGTTTGGGGGGGGGGGGTATCGTATACTATACATATAACAAGGAACCTCCAAAATAGTGTTGGTAACTATATAAGAGCCTACATTATTATTATTACCAAATTACACTTTGACCTATCAGAAAAGCCGTTGCCTAAGGGGCATGGACTGTTCTGCATGTCGGGAGTTGGGTGCAGAACAACCCTGACCTTACTAATGCTGGAGTTAGGATTAAGGGGGAGCCTTGCAAAAGACAGCCAGAAGTAGGGTTCAGAAGGGTCCCCTTCAAGGGGTCTCCCTAATACTACCTACTTGGAGGTTCATGGGTAGTTATAAGTGGGGGTTATAGGTAGGGTAATTAGGGGACGTATTACTCCACTTAGAATTATAACTACCCATGAACCTCCAAGTAGGATAATAACCCCAGCTCTGAAAGACCATGCCTTGCTCTCAGGCACAGGAGGCAACGATGCCGACTTTGCAACGGAACCAGGCGCACCTTGCAAGGGCAAGGCGGCAAATCTGCGGACATAAGAGGGGGAGTGGGGGAGTGAGGGGGGGGGGGTCTCGGTGAATGTGGTACGGGGATAGTCTGGGACGAGTCTGGGATGATGTCGTGCTATATTATATTAACTGAGGGTTTGAGAGTACTGCAGCAGGTGCTAGACATGCAAAGACTCACTCTGTAAGCTAGACTCGCTGCCAGGAAGATACGTGGAAGCTATGTTCAACAAAATTCCAGGCCAAACGCAAGGCAGTTGACAACAAAGGCTTAGAACGCCAAGAATTCTCGATCTACGAAAGCATACCGGAAGTCTCAGATGCAGTGAGCCGGGGCAGGCGCCCTGGCGTCCTCTGCCACGTCCACGTCCTCTGCAGATATGCGAGCTGCTACTACTGCTCCTGCTCCTGCTCCTGCTGCTACTAGTACTACTGTTACTGCTACTGCTGCTGCTGCTGCTGCTGCTGCTGCTGCTAATACTAGTGTTGCTACTACGACTACGACTACTAGTCACGGCCACTGCGGTGGACGGAGGAATTCTTGCACCACCTACATACTCTGTTTCGGGTACACATCCAAGCAGCAACCCCGCACACCCTTTTTAACATTGACGACAGATCTCTTGGGCGGCGCAAGATATTTGTCATTGGAACGATTTTGTGAAACCCGTTGCTCATAGCAATGTTAAGAAGGGGGGCGCAGGGTGAAGCTACATAACATATCTTAAAGGTGGTGCAAGATTTCCTCCACCCACAGTAGCACGACTGCGTCTGCGACTACGACAGACTCCTCCTCTACCACTAGCTGCCACCACTGCGACGACTGCTTCTGCAGCAACAATAGCGATGATGATGATGATGATGATGATGATAGTGAGAATGTCAACAAGACGAACAAGGCTGATCATCTTTGGCATCGTGCACATCAGCGTCAGCGTCACGGAATCACCTCCGTGGCTTGAAGAAGAGCTACGTGGAACAACTGCTAGAAAGCTTGAACACCACAAGCCTCTGTCCAGATTCTTGCAAAGCAATAACACAGGATCCCGGACAAACCCCAGACACAGCAATGACGTGCCCCTCCTTGAGAAGCACCAGTTCGTCCGCCACGGCCGCCTGCCATCGGTTGAGCGCGGGGCGGCGGTCCCAGGCTCCAGATACTGCCTATCAACACATAGTCTGTTCGAACTCGAGACAGGATTTCTTCACCAACTCGAGTGACACAGAATACAGTCTATACTTTTTTGGGTTAGCCGCCATCGGCTTGCTACTCCGACAATCCGAATTCAGAAGAGCTTCAATTAAATTCGCAGACGCGAAAGGCAACAACAGTTCGGCAACAATCTTTACCACCAGCATCATCACTGTCGACCATCATTCATTCTCATCATCACTGCCGCAATGCCTCGGCAATCACCATCGTCATCGTAGTCGCCTATATCGCCGTCGTGCGCATGCTCACGTGGTAATGCTGCTACTGCTTCTGCTGAGCAGTGCTAGTTCAATATAAATAGTGCCAGTTCAGTATACATGTATATATATATATATATATATGCACGAATAAAACTGCAGCATCTGTATATATATATATATATATATGTATATATATATATATATATGTATACATATATACATATGTTATAAGAAAATGTAACATCTATATATATATATATATATATATATGTGTGATAGACTCATTTTACACTCATGATAATGGGAGCCTTGAGGAAGGCTGCCGGGCCCTTGAGCTTCCGACCTGGAATCGGCGCAGGGTTCAGGGCTTGGGGAGAGGGTGGACACCGTGCTTCAGACAGGCCCATAGGCTCCGTAGTAGTTCCTTTTGGGGCTCATGATTAGAATCCTATAAGGTCATCCCAACAAGGAACTACTCTTGAGCCTATGGGTACACTCGAAAACATCCTTCCTTCAGTTTAGAAGCAGTTTGTTGATTTCCGTGAGCAGCAGCAGTCCTAAGGCTAGGACCACGTGCAAGCTCACAGCAGTCCAGCCATCTCTGCCGGACCCCGGATGGTGCGGACTAATGTAGGGGCCCCCTCAAGATTGTATTTGGAATCATTTAAGCCCTGTATTACTGCCCCCTCAACCGAAATTGCATGTCCGTGAACACTCTTTCACTTCAAAAATGGCATACGGACATGATAATTACCCATATCTTTCCGTCGGGCTCGTTTTTACACTTGCACTATACGTTTCCCAAAACCACAACCCTCTTCATCTCAGCATCAAGGCCCCTACATATCATATGACCCTAACAGTACCCTTACAGCATCCCTTACAGACCCTTAAGGGCCCTTTCAAAGGAATCCTATTGCACCTATCAGGCCCCTATTTCCGCTGGACTGCCCACTCTCGCCTGGAGGTCGGCCGCTCTTGGCTCGCAGCAGTCTCACCTGTGTGGTTCAGGCTTTAGGGTTCAGGGCTTTATAGGGTTTACCTTAACCCCAAATAACCTACCTTTTCAAAGGACTTGCATAAGGAAATCATCATGGGGAACCCTAAGAAAAGGTAGGTTCTTCACGGTCCAGGTAGGGTTAAGGCCTCAAGGTTACCGGCTTCGGGGCTTCAGGCAAAAGTTTCAGAGCTGAGGCTTCGGATACTATCCTCCGCAGCAATCTGCGGGTTCATCCCGGACAAACCAAAAAACAAAAGTCGGAGTTTCCAAGTCCCTTCCACGCCCCCTAAACCCTAATGTAGGGGCCTGAAGAATTACACTATAATTTCAATACAGAACTCCAAAAAAGTAATTATTGGTAACAATTTAGAAGCCCCCCAAGAAGCAGAGAATCCGTGTCACCTCCGCGCGGCCGTCTTGGGCCCTTCGCCTGCTCCGCGGCTTTCATGAGAGCTCCTGCGGCTTCTGACAAGTTTGTTTCTTGAGTTTAGGGCTTTAGGGCTTAGGGTTTTAGGGTTTAGGGCTTTAGGGCTTAGGGTTTAGGGCTTCAAGGGTTTAGGATCGGGCGGGGGTTAGGATTTTAGGGTGTTGAAGCTGTACAGTAACGTAGGATCTATGTTTCAGGCTTCATGTTTCGAGCTTAGAGTAGTGCTTCAAGGGTGCTTGTATACCGGATGGTCAACAATCTTTTTGCTACACAGTTGTCTTTCGGGTTGTGGCGATTGGGGTGACTTGAGTTGTCAAGCTTCCTTGTACCGATTTCGGGGTCTTGTTCAGGGCTTTCGACGCTCAGAGCAAAATGATGAATCAGGGGACAGGCTACGTCTTGGTCAGGCGAGGGACCGGCTCCTGGTCTTTTTGGGGCCCCATACAGGAAAGTTTAGGGATCTATACGGGTTCCTTTAAAGGAACCCTTAGGGATCTGTAGGGGTTCCTTTAAGTTAGCAGAACCCTTGCCCATTCTGGGTGATACTGCCACCAGCCACACAATTGGTCGACTACTTCAATAGTGTGCCCAGACACACCCCCTACATGTCGCGGAATTCTCGCTACTGCTACTGCGTTACAAGACCAATTGTCTGACGACTTCAGTTGGGGTTAACGGTTCCTCATAGGAGTTCTTTGCCTGTGCTTGACCACAGCACGCTGCAACCAATCTTTTGCTCAGAGAACATTTAAGCCTTTGCACAAGTCCCACAACAGTCGTGCCCATTCCGGGCAAGCAAGGGCAATCATGTAGTTGCCCAACGCCACTCGCGCTGCTTCCAGAGAGTTAGCCTCGCCAATTTCTGGCACCACCATGAATCGTGGGACCACGCCTGCTTTGCGCAGCTCCGGAAGCTCGCAGCGTTGAAAGATGGTATGTTTTTCTGCTTTGCCAATAAAGACCCAAGCGTCAAACCCAGGCTGACGACTAGCGTTTGCAGCGAATGCTGTGCTGATCGCTTGCCAAAAAAACCTCTGGGACTCCCAGTTGTAGCAGCTCAAAGAGTCGTGAAATGCATCCAGAGTAGACCCCAAGTCGGTCTTTTCAAGACTGGTGCCTTTGCAGGTTTCGGCTTGTTTCTTTGCGGATTGGCCGCTCCAAAAGATCAGCGGGCCATCACATGGTTTTGCAACAAGAAGGGGCAGCAGCAGGGTTGCCATTGCACGGAATTCTGAAAGGCAGCCTGCTTCCTTCCCAGATGCGGCCAAGTTTAAGCCAGAGATCATATGGCAAAATATCTTCGAAGCGTCACATCGCGAAATCCCGGCGCTTGATAAACGCATGACAAATCTGGAACGCATCTTCTTGTAAACATTCTTTGAAGGCCCAGATCTGCATGGATATTTGCCCACGTCCTGCTGCAAAGCTTCTTTCCTAGCCCAGGCAACGGCTTGACAAGGAATCGCAATTACACGACTGGTTGCAACTGCTACACTCCAGGCCAGCCAGCAAACTTTGTGAACCACTGCATCAGTGGTAGTTCTTGCTTGTGCCTTCGTCAACAAAACGACATGGCAGAAACTCTCCATCACAGCATTGAATGCCTCTTCGATGGCAGCTAAGGCCGATACTGAGACGTGGGAGAAACTTTCCATGACGGCTTTGGTTGCCCATTCGATGGCCGCTCTGGCCAGTATAACGACGCGGCAAAAATTCTCCCTCACAGCGTTGATTGCCAATTGGATGGGAGCATTTGCTTGTAGCACAAAACGGCGCCAAATTTCAATCACGGCATTGATCGCCAACTGGACGGCAACCCATGCAAATATAACGACACGGCACCATCTCTCCATAACAGCACTGATCGCATTTCTTGGCATCCTAGCTGGCCAGTGCAAAACCTCTGCGGCAGTGTAGACTGCAGCTGCCGCGGCAACCGCGAGTATGCCCAACTGAACGGCATTCCTGGCAAAGCCCACGTTGTCTAGCCATCCCGCTTGGGTTGAACGGCTCAGGCTTAGGTACGCCAGCAACTCTGCAGGTGCGGGATGGCAAGGCCCGTTGACGGCTTTGTTGCACAACCAAGGCCCATGCACTTCTACTTCGATCGTCATGGCTGAAGTCTTGGTGAACTTACGCGTGTTAAGAATGAGCTTCATCTTACCCAAAATGCCCTGATGGTGCTTCATGTTGCAAAGTTCGGAGCTGAACCTGTGGAAATCAGAGGGTTATCTCCCGCACTGCCTCATAAAGGATCGTCTGCACTGTAATGCCCGTCTCATTTCCCATGTTATGCTAAAAATATTCCAATTACAGTCCAGCGTGACAATAATGTTTTTGATATGGTGAATCGAAAAGCGCTCAGTTTGTCCTGGCAATTTGTGTCTGGTTTTTGCGAGCAGCGTGGCATAGTCGGCAAGAAAGATCCCTAAACCCGAAACCCTAAACCCCAAACCCCACTTGCTAGCCCCCTCTACCCCTAAAAGCTCTAAGTAAACGCATTCCGCGAAGAATCCTAGCGTGGACGACGACTACTCGCCTCCTGTGTGGGAGGGGGTAGGTTTAGGAAGGGTTTTTGAGGGAGGGCTGATTTTAGGAGGGCTTTGATTTCAGGGAGGGTTGGTTCTGTGGGCGGGGTCGTTGAACCCTGAACCCCAAACGCTAAAGGGTCCAAGATGGTTTCGGGGGTTTCAGGCAAGCCCGTAGCTTCGGAAAGCCTGCAGCAGCTTTGGGACTTTCCGGTTGGGGTTTGGGGGATTTGAAAGGTCCGATGCTCCTTTTTGTAATGGTGACTGCAGCGCTTTCACAGCGGAGGCCGGCCTTCTGCACGTCTGGCCGGGGCCTCGCCAAGGCCGCTGGCCGCCTGTCGGCAGGTCGGTTTAGGAGAAAAAGAAGAAGGCGTGTGGGAGGGTTTTTGCTCGAGGGTTCTGGGTTTGGCCTTTGTAAGGGTTCTGGGTTTTTTCACCTTGCCGGCTGAGGGCTGTTTATGTCTTAGTTTCATGGCTTCAGAGTGAGGGGCCTGTGAGTTCTCCTTTGGACGATGACGGCCACGATTCCGGCGATAACGACGGCGACTGCTGTTGCCGTCACTTATGTTTGCTGTGAGTGTATTCCTCTCGTCACAATGGCGACCCTGCTGGAATTGTAATCGCGATCATGGCCCATGACATGCTTGTGAGTACAACCTGATTCGAGGAGTGGGTCAGCCTGCACGTCTGCAGCAGCCGGTGCAGGTGAGGCCGACTGTGGCTTTTCATCGCCAGTGCTCGGGGAGAGTGATCCCAACGCATCAGGCGACCTTATTGCACTCAAGAGCACGGAAGAGAACCAGCCGTTCCTGATGACGAACTCACCACATGTATGGTGCACCGGGTGCCATAAGTCGGCTGCTTCTCGCCGGGTGATGCATCCGGGAGCTGTCCGCTCGCCTGTCGGCACAGAGCCAAAAGAGCAACCAGCAGAAGTCTTGCGGATCGGTGGTCCTCTGCAGATGCCTTCACCGGCAGCTTCGCAGGCCTTACACGCATTCAAGCCTATCGTGTCTCAGGATGCACTAGGACCACTTGCAACACAGCTGAGAGCTGCACGGCTCGTGGAGGAACGGCGATCCTCGACACCATGTCTTCACTAGGAGACCTGACCCCTGGCCTGATCACGGCCTGCGTGGCTAGGACTCGGAAAGAATCCTTGGAGTGGAAATCTCGTCACACATCCCTCCTTGAACTCCAATTGAACTCCAAGACCTCCTCGCTCTATATCGAACATTCTTAGCAGTTTGGCTCTTTCCATGGTAAATCTTATTCCATGTGCCGAGTGCTATGATCGCCATCACCATTGGGACGAGGGCTGATGCCCTGATATTCATAACAATGCGCAATCATGATAACTAATAGGAATCATCATCCTAATCTGAATTTTAACCAGAATAATGACAAAAAAACTGCCAAGAACAATATCATAATAATAACAGTACTCATAGTAATCGTAATTTCTATTACCACCAGCCGACAGCATCAGCCGCAGGCCTGGCTCCGGCGAAGGGGTCGGCGATAACATCGGCGGAGACAAGGGTGACATCAGACGGTCAGAGGAGTGCCCACGCCTCGGATCTCGTCATAAAGGGGTTTAGGGCTTTGGTTTTGCGCATGTTTTACGTTGGGGACTTAAGGCTTTGGCTTTGGACGGTGTAGATGGAGGAGGCAGGAGAAATACTGCACCACGTGTGCCAGAAACCGCGCCGTAGTAATAATGATATCATAACCACGCATGCGCAATGTTTATGTATTGGAGGACTCCCATAGGATTTACAACACGAACAGACATGAAGGACGGAAGAGTAGCAACTGCAGTGCAATCTTAGAACAACATCGCACCAGAAATCGTCAGGAATGGTTATCACAGAAACCCGGAATCAGATTTGAGCAGCAACCGTAGCAAGATATCTCGGCTTGCGTATTGCGGGGGTTCGAGATCTTCAAGACATAGAAACGAAGGCTATTCGCCTCGGCCTTGGAAAATGAATTTTTGTGGCTTCTGGAGCTCAGCCATACAGTAGTTTGGGGTGGGATTGAAAGGCGTCTATAACGGAGGTCTAGGGCGTCTAGGGCGCACATTCTGGGCTGCCCACCTCTTCGGCGACATCAAGTTCCGATAGCTTCGGGCAATGAAGGCATGGAACCTCAGACAGGCGTCAAGGTACAGCCGTAAGCCTTTATATGTCTTCGGAGCATATCGGACGTGGGCTCTAGGAAACTATGTGGTCTTTGGCACCCCAAACCTACTGGCCTACAGGGTTTGCTGACGGCATGCTGAACCTGGTCTCGGGTTCTCACTGTCGTTGCTGCGCATCAGCCACAGCGGCGCTGGCCCGGAAGCAACGAAGGGCCTTTTTTCGGGCACGCGTGTAACATCAAGTCTCGTCAAAGGACACTAGCTATATACCGCGAACATTGTTGGACCACGTGAGGTGCACCTCTTCCGCTGCTGCAGCCTCAGCAGAGGCAATCTCGGCGTTGGCGTCTATCTCTGACTGCGGGATGCCATCACCTGCCCCCCATGCAGGCAGCTAGCCGTACAACATATCCATTGTCCTCTGCACAAGGCTGCCGATCTCGCCACCTTGTGCAACACTCGTGTAGGTGAGGTGGAAGTGTGCGGCAAGCTCCTGTCATGGCAGACACGAGCGAAACAAACTCGTTGTTGTTGCCATAGCGGTGGATCTATTGCTTGATTAGATACATATATACATATACATATATATATATATATACATATGCTAGCCCCCTATATATATGTATATATTCATATATATATATATATATATGTATATATACATATGTATCCGCCTCCTCATCCAAGAAATTGTCGCCATCGTCGGCGTCGCCCTGACGCAGGGATGGAGCTCGGGGCTCTGCTTCAAGAAAGGAGCCACCAGCTAGGCCTTGAAAGACGTGACTAATGTAGGAACCTTAGGGTTCCTTCAAAGGGTTCTATAATGGTTACTATAAGGGATCTATAAGGGTACTATAAGGGATCTATAATAAGGGTACTATAATAATGTAGGAACCTGATTAAGAAACCTTGGGCCTTTATTGGGGTTACTTATATTAATCCTACTACTTTGGGGGTTATAGGCCCAGAGCTTCTCAATCAGGTTCCTACATTACCGGAAACTGGACCGCAAAGGGACTGATGTGGAACCCTATACTCAGTAGAAAGTTGGGATCGGAAGCCAGCGGAAGACACAATAGGAGTGACGGTCCTATTTAACCGTGTGCGTACATCAGCAAAGGCAGCTGATAGCTTTGTCACTCTCTGTGTGCGTGCTGTTGTTTCTCATCTGTTGCGTCTGTTCCGTGTCAGTTTTGGTTTGAGGAGCAAAAATCTAAAGCTTATAAGTAAGACATGTACGCTCTACATATGTATGCAGTCCGAATATAGTCAACTTGCTACAACAATACACACAACACATGCAAGCTTGCATATATATATATATATATATATATATATACACACACATACATGTGTGTATATGCATATACATGCACACGTGTGTAAATACACATCATGTGTATGTGTGTATACATATATATATATATATATATATACACATATGTACGTACGAACCACTCCTCGAGCTTCGGATCTGCCGTTGCCGCTTCTTCTTCCGAGTCCTTTTGCAGGCCCGGGGTGCTGGAAGCCGTAAGGTTTTCGTGGCCCTAGGTTTGGCATTGCCATGTTGACGACGATGACACCGATACCTGCTGCGCGTAGCGACTACCACTACCACTACCACTACCACTACCACTACCACTACCACTACCACTACCACTGCTACTATGATGATTACTATTAGATGCCTGCTGATCATGATACTTCGTCTTGCTCGATTGCTCGTTCCAAGCTGGGGTGCAGAGCCGGCCTGTCCGCATGTAGTTCGAAGAGAGCTTCTGTACTCAACATTTTGGGGAAATATAACTTTTTTCCTCAATATGGGAGTTTCCGAAGATTAGGGTTGCATTGATGATGATAAGGATCCTACTATTTAGAAACTATGTCTGGGTCCCTTATTTCGGAAACTCCCAGGCGACTGGGGCGGTGTGTAGAGGTTCCCTGAACCCCTGAAACCTCCAAAAACCCGAAAGGGCCTGCCAGCGAGATTGCTAGGGTATAAGATCCAGGGCTGAGCTATATATATATATATGTATATATACTATGTATATAGAGCAGTTTCGGGATGCTTCGGACAGGACGGACAGCCCCTGAAGTCGTTGCATGTAAGGAAAGCAAGAAACCCCGACAACAGCGCTCATTAACTCCCACGAATCCAGATATGTCGGCATCCTTTCACGAAGAAGACAATGCAGCAGCAGTATGGTATAACAACAAGTGCTGATATAGCTTGCGTAGAACCACCATGCGCCTTTGTAGAAGAAACAAGAATCAACACGCGCTCCTCGCCATCGCTTTCGCTCTCGCTGGCGGTTCGGCTCAGTTGGTGCAACAAGAACTCCAACTGCCTGTGTGTATCGATCTCACGTTACGGGATTAGGGACGGCGGTTCCACAGCTTCTGCACGGGGACTCCATGACTCCGACAATGCTTTGGAAGGAAGCCTGTCTCGGTGCCTATGCCTTAGACGAGGTCCGGAGGAACGCTTGTACTGTCAGATGTAGTCTCTACCGGAAAGACCACTTGCGAAGACCCTCAGACCTGCGAGCTGGTACAAGTAGAAAATCGGAAGTTTCTAATGGGTTCAAGGCAACGCATACATCACAACAACAGCAGGTGCATTGTAAAACAAATGCATGGCAAATACCAAACTAATCAAGTATGCAGCAGAAATACATCGAATGCTATATGAAAGAACTGTAGAGACTAGTAAACTGAATAGACATTCAACACAATCATACATATATTGCCTACATATGTGCATGCGTACTGTACATGCATAATCGCATGCATGCATGCACTACATTTCATTTCATCACATTGTGCTACCTTAAAGTACATTAGAGTTCATCAGTCTTGGTTACATTACATTACACCACAGTACTGCACATCGCACTTCTGAACTTGAAAAGTTACTTATTACATACGTACTTGCTTACTTTCCTACTGAAACGACTTAATTTGACTTACTTGCCCACTGACTTAGTTACGTGCCTGTGTGCATTACGGTACTTAAATATTATGTGTACAATACATGTACGAACTGAAACACACTCGAATAACATGCAGATAGGCCAATGTGGACAGTGTGTGTGTGTGTGTCTGTGTGATGCGCATGAGCATGCTACAGCGGCGTAATGGCCGTGGTATGTTGGCAAAGGTCTTGCAGGCTTGTGGTACGTCCCACAAGCCCTGCGACAAGTGCGAAAGACTCGAAGGGGGCCTCTGGAGGAGGTCGTTGTCCGGTCCAACACGCTTGAGCCTGGCATTTTGCAAGATTTTCCTGTCAATGCTGTTTTCGTTGCCACTACTACTACTACTGACTACTACTACTACTACTACTACTACTACTACTACTACTACTACTACTGATGTACTTGGCTTGGCCTCTCAAGGTGTTTGCTTTGGATTGAAACGAGTAAGGCCATGAGAGATCTGCAACTCCGAAACAGCGCATGACAAAAAACACTACTTGTAAAAAGCACCAGAATTATGCGATGGCATTCGCAATTGCATGGGCTTGGAGGGGGGTAGAGTTCGGCATCTTATCATTGCAGCATGACGCTTTTGCCGAAATCCTCAAAGCACGAAGGCCCCAAACCCCACACCGGTACACGCCCCGACCACACGGCTCCCGAGCAGTTTAGTTGCTGAGTTCTAACAACCTAGAGTTCCGAAAAGCTGAAATGGTTGCCTAATGCTTCGGGTAGCGCTGCGCAAGCCCAAAAGCTCTGCCACCAAAGTAACTACTCTTTCTAGACTGATAAAGTAAGTACCGCTTCATACAAAAAGCTACTACAGGGGCTTGAATAAGTAGAGTGGGATTTGAGGGTGTAGTATAGCATTTTTTTTGTAAAGGAGCCCTAGGGAAAAATGTTTGCGACGCTCAGACCCATAGATTGCTGACACAACCATGGCGGCATCACGCGGATCGAAAGATTGCCTGGTGGCCGTGGCACGAGGGTTTCGGAAGACGGCTAATGTACATCTCCTCATGAAGTGAGGTTGATGCTTTTAGGATTCGGGTTTTGGAATTCGGGGTATTGTCTTAGGTTTTGGATCTTCTGGTTCGGGTCGGAGTGTCAAGGTTGCAGAAGTGTACTACCTGATTCAGGTTGTCGGTGGCCGTCGATCTAGAATCACGCCACATTGTGCTCAGGGCTTGTGGTCTGGAATGTGGGGCTTCGGGCGCTTAAGAAGCTCTAGCTGCAGCTTTTGAAGGGTGCAAAATGCTTCTAACTCGGAAAACCTCTATAAACCCTCAATCTCCGACTCTATAGGCCCTAAACTCCGCAAGGAAGGACCATAGAGGCCCCAGGCTGGACCCAAGGCAACCTAAAGCCTAGAAGCCCAAACGCTCCCAGAACAAGCCCAAACACTCCATACTTTCCAAACCAAACCCCCCCCACCACACACACACACACACACACACACACACACACACAAACATCTTACAAACCCTTAACCATGTGGGCGGTTGTCAAAATTAGGGTCCCTTTTGGGGTACCCTAAATAATAGGTGCCGTATTATATTAGGGATACAAAAACGGACCATAATTTTGACAACCACCCATGTGTTGGCTTGAGTCTGCTCTTCTTCCTTGCAGTGGCGCCTCGGCTCCCTTCTGCTGCGCCTCTGCGCGAATGGCACCGACCTGGGCCAGAGCTATGAGATGCTTCTTTTTTTGGGGTGTGGGGTTTAGGTTTTTACGGTGGGTTGGCATCTGTCCTCTACCCATAGTGGGCTTTAAAGTTTGCAAGGTTTGGAAAAGGTTGAGGTGTGTTGGGCATCAGGTTTCGATGCATTAGGGCTTTTGTCTGGAAGGTGTTTAGGGTTCTTGGCTTTGGGGTTTTGGGGTTTTGGGCACCAGGGTAGAGTGCCGAGACCCCAGAACTTGTGTATACGACGCCAAAAACGACAGCTAGAGGAACGAGGACTAAGATGCAAGTCAGCAGTCGAGACGGTCCAGCCCGAAGACCAAAAGGAGGCTACAGGTTCGGTTGGACATATACAGGAAGCTGAGCTGCTGGTTTTCACTAGCTTCCTGGGCCAAGATGATGCCATGCCCTTCGGACTGCCAGCTGCAATGACCCCGTTGACGTGGCTACGGCTGCTTCCCCCTCGTCCTACACATCCTGGTCATGGCGGAAAACGTACTGCACTACTACTTCTTTCTTTGATCCTTGGGGAGTTCCGGCATTAGGTTTGCTACTGTCTTGCTGCTGTCGGCTTGTCTCGGCCTGTGTCACGTCTGATCTCGCATGAGAGTTGCAGCAAAGAGAAGGCCCCATACTTCTCAAGACCCCTCAGAATCCTTGCTGTCCAGACCCCGAATTTTAGGAAGCCATCAGTTCAAGTCAGCGGCCCCAAGCAGGGTGTAGAGCGTCCCGTTGACGTGCGTCCGGACCTGGTGAACCAATGTAGGTATGCTTTCGCCTAGAAAACCCTCAAGCCCGATGGCGCAGGACATCTCCTAGTATTACCAGGTGTTCATACTATGACATCCCTACGACTACTCCTCGCTGCTCTGCGACGTGAGTCGTTTCCAACCTGGCCCCTTGCTGCGCGACAGCCACGGCAGCGGTAGCACTGGCAACCGCGACTGTCGACTACGACGAAGACGACAAGACATTCAATGGCTCTTCTACAGCCACTAAATCACAACCCACATGAGATTCTGATGGACGGCCTGAGGGTTCGGATGCTCAATCAAGGTCACCAGGATGCCGTACGCCCCGAGATCGGCACACCTGGGTCATGGGTCGGTGAAGCTTGCGGAGCTTGCCGTTTAGGGTTTAGGCTTGGGAAGTTTAGGTTTAGGGTCTTGATTACTTCGAACCTATTGCGGCTTGCAGTTCGGACATAACGCAGTGGCGCATCCTCATGCATCCCCGATGTATTGATAGCTTACTGTAATTATGACTCAAGTTACAGAGAACAGCTTTTCCGGAGCACAAGACCCTGGTCCTTACACGCTAGATCCCTAACCACTAAACAGATAATGACTACACCCTAAACCCCTAATCCCTGAACCCTAAACCTCTAATCCCTAAACCGTTTAACCCCCGAGCCCCAAGCTTGAGCTGTCCGAGTGCACTGCCGGCGTCTTCCGGCAGACCGGAGCGTGAGGTTCATGAGGAGAGCCGAAGTGAACTGGCTTTTCTTAGTAGCTATCACTACAAGGATTACTAGGGATTGAAAGGTTTAGGCTTTTTAGGGTGTTTGGGGATTTCTATTCTACGGAGGCGTAGGGTTTAGAGCCTCGGCGTTGAGGGCTTCCTGTTTTGTACGGTAGCCTTTCCAATTACACTTCTCTTCCTTCAGGGCTCAGGGCTTCCTAGCTGACACGCGACAGACTTCTGACAGTCTGATTGAACTTGGTAGCACGGATGAAAACAATCCCCTCTGTGCACGATCATTGCTGTTCCGGTTGGCCCTCTGTTCGGGCGTTTCCGAAAAAAGGGGACCCAAAATAGGAGGATCCCTGTTGTAAGGACCCTGAAATAAGGTACCCCTAATTTTCGGAAGCTCCCGCTTCTTTGTGGAGCAATGAGCCCACTGTCGCACGGCCTCGATAGAAAAGTCCGGTGTCTCCGGCCCCTCGCCGGGGCCCAGCCGGCACCTGCTCCGCTCCATTCTTGTTGCAAGGAGCTCTGGCTTCATAGCACGGTATGATACTACCGACTAGGCTCATATACAGAATACTATGAACAACATGTGATAATGTCTCGTTTTGACAGGCTTCATATCGGCCACGGCAGTAGGAACAAGATTGCAGAAGGCCAGACCTGTCGCGCGCAGTAAGGACTGCACCATCCATGGCCGCTGCCGCTGCTTTCTGCATCGCCTTCCACCTTTCGCACAGACCTTGGTGCTGCATCTGTGCAAGGATTACCATGATTACTAGTGGCTCAAGGCCTGAAAAAGCTGACTTCTGAACCTCGCATCACCAGCTTTCAGATTTGACAGTCGCAGAGACTGGCATATTTCCTCTGGATCTCTTGCAGCACTACATGAAACCGCAAGAGCTCGAAACACCTTGCGGCCCGCGCTGAATCAGCTTGAGGACGACATCCAGAGCACCGAGTTGGATCATCTTGGACTGGCAAGCAGGACGAGCGACTTATCGCCAGAACCAAAAGCCACGAACGCCATACCAGATACAAGAACACGCTCATCTCATCTATAAGTGGGTTATAAGTGGTCCAAGGGTGGCGACTCTGCCGAACGGGACAGCCCACACAACGACTTCCACCGACATCGAGATGGGAAAAGCCTGCAGGTGTCCTCTCAGCGAGAGCCGCTGCAAAACTGCCTCAGACACGGGTTGTCGTGGATCAGCTGGTCCAGATGTCGGATAGTGATGTCAAACTTCCTACCTTAAGCCATGGAGCTTAATTAAACTCTGCTGAATGCAGAGCTGACCTACACGAGCACGATGAACAGGCAAGCCCTTCTGTGCAGACTTCTTGGGCTGTAGCTCGGCTATGACTGTCTTATGGTAGTCGTTCGTTGCATGAGCAGGCGTCACTGCTATAGCAACTGTTACGCTTCGATGCCGTTCTTGCCTGCCTCATACAATACCCTCCTTGTTGCCACGGTTGTTGTGATGAGTGTGCAAGCCTGATACCCTGCTTGTAACTAGTGCATTCAGCAACCACTCGGGAGCCCCAAAGCCCCAAACAGGCCACACCCAAGCAAGCATAAGTGCCGTGCGAGGCAGTGCATATGCGCCAAGCTTCGATCTGGCGGCAGCTGGGTTTCCCTTTACGGTTTGGGGTCTAGGAGAGCCTGCCAAGGTTCTTTGCCCAGTCCTGGAAACCCCCGAGGCCCCTGCGCAAGCTATGCAAGAAGCTTCCCTAACCTTAAGGAGTCTCGGAGTTTATAGGAACTTACAACCGGAAACCACGCCTGGCGAGCTGACCACAGAGATCAGCGTCGCGATGCATCCGCTGCCCTGGGCCTCTCAACTATCAAGACGCACCCAAAGGGTCCTATGCACCGATATAGTAGAATGCAGGGTTCCATATTAGGAATTACCATTATACCTCAAGGAAGTATTCCCAATAACAGTACATAGGACCCTTTGGTGCATTGCGCTGCTTTAAACGGAGCCTTAAGCAATTATGCAGAATCCAGGCATCATGCTGGATTTTTTGCACGCATGTCACTGGACATATGTGCATGTGTATATATGTATGTACAAATATACAGACGCACATACATACATACATACATACATACATACATACATACATACATACATGCATACATACATACATACATACATAGACGCATACATACATACATACATACATACATACATACATACATACATGTATATAAATGTAAGTATATCGTACATATATATATATATATATATATATATATATGGCATTTACATTCTGCACATATAACTGCACACACATACGATGCTTTAATGTGTACATTTATTGGGATATGTAGCAGGGCCTCAGGCAAGCTAAGTGTATAGATGTAAGAATGCAATTGAGGAAAAGGTGCTTAAGGATTCATGAGGTGTTGAAGTCAATGTCTGTTTAGGGCTTAAGGTTTGGGGCTTACTTAAGGATACCATTGCTACATTGCTTGTACACGAGCTTGTGTGCATGTAGAGAGACGGCGGCGGCTGCCGGAAAGAACGGGCACTGCCAATGCATTGTACCCTCCGAGGCAAGTAAGTGGGAGATGCCGGAGTATATAGTCTCAACACGCCACAGCGAAACCCCACGAAGCCATCAAAGACCCAAAACCAGAGGCCCAAAACACTGAGCCCAATGAAGCCCCAGTCCAAACCCCAAACAAACAGAAAAAACAAAACAAGAACAGGGCCCTTAAACACTCGAACAACGGCCTACAGAGTATTTATTCCCCTTCAGCACCCGCGCCCTCAAAATAACCCTTCCTACTCCCAAACCCTTTAGCTCGGAGATGCTGGTCCTACCTCTGCTGCTTCGATCTCTCGACGGCCCACCACCTTCAATTTGATGAGCGTAGGAGCTACTGAGGCTTTTAAACAAATTGTTACATTCTTACGGTGGGTTTATGGTTTTAGGGCCTATTTAGGGTCTGGGCTCTAGGGCTTTAGGGCCTGGGGTTGAAAGCTTAGAGTGGCCTGTAGTGCAAAAAAACGTTGCGCTGAAAAGTCTTCTCTTTCAGACGGGCCTCGTCGTCTTTTCGTGCATGGCCAGGTTCGCATGTTGAAGGTAGGGGCCTATAATTAGACGCGGGTTGGAGAGGGGCATATCACACTTCGGTTGTAAGCATAGAGCAAAGCATGACACTCTCATCAAAAGCTGGCGAACCGGGTATTACCCGGAACCCAGAATTCGATGCTCTAAGCATCTGCTCAGGAAATTCGGCGTCGCACTCTTTCCACGGTGCTCTCCTTGTCTCTCGGTCTTCGGCATTCGGGTCCATGCTATACAGCTATGGGACTTCTGCGCTCGCCTTCCGCTTGCCCCTTTCATGGGAGTTTCCGAAAATCGGGGTACCTTATTTTGGGGTCTGTATAATAAGGATCCTAGTATTTAGGTTACTATATTGCGGTCTCCTATTTTCGGAAACCCCTCATGAGAGGAACCGCCACGCACGCGTTTGAAAACTGCTTGGCGATTGAGCAGAGAAGCTTCAAATCGGACAGTATGCTCTCGTGAAAGGAAACGTAGCATGACATGACGTGTCTCGGAGCCTTCAAAGCTTCTCGCAATGGGATCGGGTGAAGCGACACAATAAACAGACTGACCTGTTTCACTATAGATGCTGGTGTTTGCCTACGTCTACAGTCAAAGAAGACGACTTTGTCAGGGGACAAGACCAGCTAGCTCGATTCTCCAACCCCTAGACCCTGCACCCTACTGCGGCGGAAGAGACATCGTCTTCAGCAAAAAAGCCGGCTCCCGCGATTCCCCGTGCGTTTGCGGGAGAATATACATTCGCCACGCGGGGAGGACCATCCTGGGATGCTCAAGTTAGGCTCTCAATCTCTCGGCGATCCTGGAGTTTAGGGCTTAGGGGCCTTCGTAATTGGAATAGGGTTTTAACGGGCCCATTATACTGTGGTTACTCTAGTTGTAATAAGGAGCCCCCAGGATAGTCGAGGTATTTATTAAGGCCCCTGGTTTCGTTTCTCTTGAAGTCGATATCTGGGGCAGCATCTGTGTCTTCTGGGATCGCAAATCACCTGCCGGAAGCACTCGGAGGATCATGGGACTTAGTAAGTAAGCTTCTAAGTACCTTAATTGGGGTTATAAGTAGAAATAAGTATATTTACCCCAATGACAACCCTTGTTATGAAGTCCTATGATCCTTTAACATTTATGCAGGTTGTGACGAAATGCGCGCACGCCCGGCTTTCTCGGCCCAGGCACTCGGATTCCCGTTGGGGTTGAGCTAAGATCAATCCCCCCTTCCCAGAGGCCCCAAAGTAGTTCCTTTCTGGTGTTCATTTTTAAAAATCCTATAAGGTAGTAATCCCAAAAAAAAGCTACTTTGGGGCCTTTGGGTAGAGGTTCTGATTTTGTGCCTCTGCGAGTCTATGTGGTGTGTCTCAAACATGGCCAAAAAGCGAGGAACAAGCTCCCACACTCTCCGTTCAGTGTACCGAAACTTACCCAGAGGCACCATAGTAGTTCTTTTTGGGTGTTCATATGTCGAATCCTGTAAGGTCATCCCACAAAGGAACTACTATGGGGCCTATGCGTAATCTCTACATCCCACACCTCACCAAATCCTGCTCCCCTGCGAAAACAATATCGGGCCCAGGAGCACTGCGAGGATGACGGACAAGACCAGCTCAGACCACACTGGGTGGCCAACCCTGGGACTCCGGAGCCAAGATTTGGGAAGTTACGAAAAGTAGGGCACCATAACGGTTCCTTTAAAGGGCCCTATAAGGGTTTAGAGTTTCCGAAAATTAGGGGTCCCTATTTTGAGGTCCTTGTAAAAAGGATCCTACTGTTTCGGGTACTATATTAGGGTCGCCTATTTTCGGAGACTCCTATTTGGGCAGGGCATGGTTTAGTCAGAGGATGCCATTCCCGTTTTGGGTATATGGCACCACCCACCCCCCAATCTAGCAATACAATATATGAACAAATCCTATTCACACTCTAGAACTAGGGACATGGGTTTAGGGTTCAGGGTCTGGATTGAGGGTTGCCTGTAACTTTGGCGACAGCGATCGCTCGTGATAAATAGGATAACAAGAGCAGCAAAATAGACAGACATGATATCAGCCGCAGGAATGAACAGAGGAAGATGCAGAGTGAACATCAATGGCTTCCAAGCTAATCAGCGAGGATACCGGAGCCCTACGCCGGAGACCCTAAACTCCCCAACTTGTAACCCTGAATCCTAAGCTGCAGCCCCGAAGTGCCAAATCCGTAAGTTCCTACTAACTACTACAACTTAGAATAACCCCGCACTGCGCCAAAACCCAAACCCTGAACCCTGCCCTGACATTCCCAAAGCCTAACTTCGAATATAGGGGCCTAAATCATTACCCATGCTCTCTTGGGAGCTCCTCATCACACTTATGGTATAGCATACCCAAAACCTATTCTCAATATTATGGCCTCTCCATGATAGAAACCTTACAGAACCCTTATAATAGTAACCCTTCAAAAGGAATGAAACTCTAATTATAAAGGCCACTAAAAAGGAATCATATTGTTATGATCCTCAATTTTTTTACTAGCTTTCGTATGTCTTTCTCCTCGCTTCTGGAGTAAAGGAAGCTTCAGCCGGGCCACGGTGTCCTCTCGCACGTTTTGGTCACCGAGCTTTCGAAGGCCTTGGCGCACGGCTGAAACAGCACGGGAAGAAGTTCAAGTTGCAGATAAGAAGAATTTACAATAACAGTAAAATGACACTAACCATGATCATAATCACTCATAGTAGTAATGCTAAGACTGCCAGGAATAACAAGAATAAGCAGGGAACGAAAAAGCTGCTGCATGTTCAGGATGGCTAGGACTGCTCCACACCAGCAGACGCGTGTGTCCATCAGAAAACATCGTCGACGTCATGAATGTCTTATACAGACCCCGAACCTTCATTCCACAGACCTCCTTGAACTGGGTTTGGGGTGTAGAAGGCTTCGGGGTGGCTTGAAGCCCAGTCCGCCTGCTCCCAGCCGAAGCCAATTAGGATTGCAGTGGCCTGGCTCGTCGGAATGCAGCAGTAACAGTGTCAGCGGCCGTGGGGCTCGAAGCTGTGATCATTGGCAGCGACAGTGGCAGTGGTAGTGGTCGCAGTAGGTAGCTTTAGGTAGCGGTGTGCTGGAGATGATCAAAACGAAGCGCAAATTCAGGACAAAGACTCGTTCTGACAGAAGTGGCTACCGATGCGGCCGGATAGGGAAGTTTCTATATGGTAGTTGTCAAATTCAAGGTTCCTTTTTGGGCACCCTAAATAATAATAGGTGCCGTATTATATTAAGGACCCAAAAAGGGACCCTAATTTTGACAACCACCCATATCGATCCGAGCACTCTGAGCAGAGACTACTTGGTCTTTCGCTGGCCCCAGGGGCCTTGATGAGGGTGTCGGAGCCGTGAAGCACCAGGCTCTGCTGCAAATCCGCTGCTTTGTGGCGCCACCCTGGGCTGAACCCCTATACAGTTTAGGTGATTGCGCTCAAAGTCGTTCTGAGCACCATGAGCACGGAATCTTCTAAGGGGCATAGCAGCGCAAGGACGTGTGCAGACGTGCGGCATCGCGATCTTTTCTGCTTGAACTTCGTGGAGAGGTCCTGCGAGGACCTGCTTGTGGCTAAGGCTCCCCAAGACGGAGGTCTTGGAACTTGCCATAGAACGATGGAGATTGCAAATAAGTTTTCTTTCTGCGCCACAATCCTGAACTAACCCCGACTTGCGGGATGCACCCAAACGCTTACTAGAAGCCAAGAAAAGACTCCATGGTTGGACTCGCTGCTGCTACCCGCTTAAAATTTCTATTAATGTATCCAGCTTCCTTGTGAGTTCTCTTGGAAGCCACAGAGCATCCTATTTGCTAGGGAGTGCTGATGTTTCTACCCATACCGAGAGCTTGAGGGGCTGCAGACGAAGCGTCCAAGGAGAAGCAGCAGACGAAGAGTCCCAGGAACCATGCAAAATTCTCCAAACTCCAAAGCTCGAAGTTCGCACAGCCCGGGGATGAGGCCCAACGCGACTCCACAGACGCTGCAATCGGAACCTTCAGCTGGGAAAAAGGTAAAGAATTTATCGCACAGCTCTACAACAAACATACATAGGAAGATCAATTTCACTAGTGCTGCCAGCGGAGATCTCTAAGCAGTGAGAGACCGTACCAGAAGCATGCCATTAAGGCCAGCATGTCACGACCACTGTCACATGCGAACGGGCCTGAAATGCCTGGGACAGCACAGGTCGCACCCAGTCGCCATCCGTGTTGCTCCAGCATTTACACCAAGGTATCATCCACGACGATCAATGCGACCAGGAAAAGAGACCAGCAAGTGGCCACCGCGACACCAGGAGACCACCAGGACGCTGCCAAAATACCTTCCCCCAAGTATACCTGGCGTAATCAGAACCATGCCCCCAAGTCTTTCGCCCCAAAAACTGGCGGGATTCAAAAAGATTCGGGAGCATGGCGGCACTGCTTTCCCCCCGTACTGGCCGCTCCAGGACCGGCGCGAAGTACATTTCCCCCCTGCACTGATGTGTTTCGGAAGCAGGAGACTTATGCTGTGTTATGCTTGCCGCTCTTAGCTTGCGAGATCCAGAGGAACACCGCAATTCGCTTACCCCCAAACACTGCAGCGATTCAACGTTGTCGACAGCAGTCTGGGGGAGCTTCATAAAACCTTCAGAAACCTCTACTGACCTTCATTACCAACCGTACGCATAGGCTGCTCGTTTTCAGGTCCACCCATCCCTGGGGTCCCGAACCATGGTCTCGAAGGGTTCTCATGGGTTTGAGGTCGCTTAGGCCTTTTGTTGAGGTCTCATCA